TTTAATTTAATTTAATTTAAAAAAGAAGAAGAAAACCTAGTATTGAGGAATGGCAGCAAAACGGGACATGGTCCTCGGCCAGAAAGTCAAGCTATACCCCAGTTGCAGGTAACCCAACCAAATCTCCACCCTCCTGAGGAGAGACCGCCCTACTGAAAGGGGACTCACATCGTAGGTGACTTCCTCCACCTGGTCCTTCTCCATAAGAAACACTTTGGAGACTTGCTCACACGGTCCCTGGAGGATTCGGGCAACCAGAGGGTAATCGGTGTTCTTTAGCTTCTGTTTCTCTGGAACAACACCCAACAAGGAACAGCCCTGAGTTTGGCCCTGAGGCCTTTCTCACCATAAGTAGTGGCCAACTCGGGGGCCCAAATGGCCCGGGCACCTTAGAAGATGCAGCCAGGTAAGTCAGGAGACTGAATTGTGAATGAACAATTCTGGTTCAAAGCAACCATTCCCTCCCCGCTCTCCCTGACAAAACGACCATGCTTCAAACCCTTTGGAAGATGCTGTGTTGGAGGAATTGGTTTTATCTACCTCTCAAGGAAATCCGGTTGCCTTTTAAATAAGCAGTTAGGTTCTAGACTACATATGGCATTTCCCAGTGGACTCAGCCAGTGACCCCACCAGCCTCGGAGGCGAACATTTGAAAGTTTCCAAAGGCCAAACAACAAGCAAATGAGGCAGAGGTCTTGTTTTTACACTTGCTGTTTTGAGTGAAGTAAACATTTTCAAGTACACTGTGTTTTTCAGACTTACCACCGCTGGTATGGACCACATACAAAGCAAACTCCTCTGCGGAATTCTCGATCTGAATCAGAAACAAGAGATGCTTGAAGAAAGCACATATTTACATATCCCAACTCTGAGCCATTCCTTCTTGAACGCTGCAAAGCTAAATGGATGTTCGGCGCTTCTGAGGGGGAGCTATTTCTCTCTAGCTCTCAGAGGGGATGAGGAGAGGGGGCAGGCAGGTAACTTTATCAGTAACAGTCCATAAGAAGGACTAACATTTCTTGCACCCTGACAAGCACCGTGCCACATGCTCTGCACACGTTAACTTATCTCATACTCCTGTCAGCCCCTTAAGGGGGGGTCCTGTGAACCCTCATTTTACAGAAGACAAAGCAGAAGCACAGGGAGCTTAAGTCACTAGCTCGGCTCCTCCAATCAGCGGGTGATGGCTGGGGATTTGAACGCAGAGGCCACCAGCTGACACTGGCCCCAGTGAAAAATAGGGATCCATGTCTCCAAAAGATTTCTTATAAAGGGATTGTGGGAGACCTACAGAGTAACAGAACTTTAAGGATTCATGCCCTAGAACTTGCACGTGTATTGAAGCTCATTTTTCAGAGTAGGTTCCCCAAATGTGTTTCAGAAGTCAGTCTGTGCCTGGGGTCTGAGGTCTGTGCCTGGGGCCTGGGGTTTGGGGGCCGGAGCTCCTCAGAATTCAGCAGCACCAGAATCGCCTGCCAGTTGCTGAGCAGGTTCCCTGGCCTTCGGGCTTCAGATTCAGCAGGTCTGATTCAGGGCTGGGGCCTGGGAAGCTGCTTTGCGAACAAGCTCCCATGGGATGCTGATGCCATGGGGTTGGAAGACCCCGAGCCCGGCGGCCCAGCGCGCCTCCCCTCCCCCCGCTTACTGCACACCCTCCATGGTCCCCCTTCCCACTCCGGGGCCAGTCCGCGTGGGAACTTGCCTTGAATTTGTTGAGCAGCAGCTTCAGGACCTGTGGGGTGGTCATGGTGCTGTTGATGCGGACGTTAGTGACCGAGCCATAGGCCGGCGTGAACACCGATGTCTGTCAATAGAGGGGCCCGGCTCACGGTGGCCGTGGGGACAAGAACTGGGCCTTAAAACCCAGGTGTCCCCCAGCCCCGTGACCTGGGGTAAAGAGCACAGTGACAAGGGCACTCACCCCGTGCACCCTGAGCCCCCCCCCCCCCCCCCCGCAGCAGCCTGGCAGACGATGGCTTTGAGGTCAACACAAGCAGCCCTGGGCTGTGCCTAACTCGGGAGCTCGTCTCCCACCCACCGTCCCCACGGGAGGCTGGAGGGGTCTGAGCTGGGCAAGTGGCAGGGTGGGGGAGGGGGAGGGGCCCAGATAAGGAAGGCCCTCTCTCCAGAGAAAACGTGCAGAAGGCCCCTTCCACTGTGACTTCAACACAAGGTCTCTGACCCCTCTCCCATGATGCACTTGCTTCTGGGGCTGGATTCGGACCAGGCAGCGGGAGGCAAGGAGGGTCAGCTAATGGGGAGGGGCAGGTAGGGCACGGATGCCCCCTGATTTGCATCCCGCAGCCCTGCTTCAGGGGGCAGCACTCAGCTCACAGGAAAGTGAGACCACGCAGCAGCCGGTGTAGGAAGAGGGTGTCGTGTTGACTTCCCAGGGAGGGGGGCCGGCTCTGGTGTTCGTGGTGTCATCTCACCCACCCCCCCTAGGCGGGGCTCCTGATCCAGGGTCCCTCATCCCTCCCAGAGCCGGCAGAGCCTGCAGCCCACCCAGGACCCAAAGACAGAACGGCAAACACTTGGCTTCCCACTTGTCTGTAGCCTTGAGGCAGCCGCTGCCCAAGAAGAGGCCTTATTCACTCGGGACTAACCCCTGCCCCCTACCCCCCATCCTCTCTACCTTGTGGTTGTAGAAATGGCCATTGATGGAGAAGCGGTGGCGTCTGATTCGCCTCTGGTCACTGGGCGTCCTCACGTTGCCACGGCGACGCACCCCAACATCACTGCGTGTGCGCATCAGCTGTGGGGTGTCTTCCTGCAGGGGCTTGAGGCCCCTGGAGTCTAAGAGGGAAGGGGAAGATGAGCTCTGTCGGCCCGGCCCGGGGATGTGGCAGTTTGCACACAGTACCCTCTTTGTGGCCAAGGCTACGGTACCCACTGCCGCCTCCCCCGAAATACGTTTCATCCAAACAGTATTTCCTGCCGGGGGAAAAACACATGGCATAATTTACTGAGAAGCAATACAGTGACAAGATTCCAGAGCAGAGACTTGAGAGCCAGATTCCCAGGGCCAAATCCCAGCCCCACCATTGCTATGTTTCATTAACCCCTCCATGCCTCAGTTCCCTCATCTATAAAATGGGCATAATAATAGCACCCACATCACAGGACTGTTGTGAGGGTTTACTGAATTAATTCACGCAAAGCATTTAGAAGAGTGCTTGGCACAGCAGAAGCGTGACATAAGGACTTGCAAGATATTGCCATCTGACAGTATCTATCAAAATTACAAACGCACATAGCCTCAGACCCAGAAATTCCACTTAAAAAAATCCTACAGACACTGACAAATGTGTGAAATGGCACGTGTCCAGGGCCACTAACTGCTGTTTGTCACAGCAAAAGACTGGAATGACTTCAATGTCCATCAGTGAGGAGTGATTCAGCTATCATTTCTCCACCCAATGGAATACAGCAAAGCCAGATAAGAATGCCGAAGTTCTTTATGGATTTGTGTGGGACAGTCCTCAAAACAAACTAATAGAAACAGGGATATACAAAATTTACCACTTATGTAAAAAGGGGAAGAAAAGAAATGACCTCCAACCATAAAGGTATGTTGCTGTGTATTTGCTTGTATCTGTCTAGAAGACCTCAGAAAGAATGCCTTCGAGTATTTTCTAGGGAGGGAACCCCTATGGTGGGTAGACGAAATGGGGAACTTCTGATAGTCTCCTTTGAATACTCCTCGAATCTTGAACCACATGAATTTCATTTATTCAATTTACAGCATCTAGATCACATCAGTCTTCACATAGGTGAGTCCAAAGCGGGACACTTCCCACCACACATGTGTGTACCTGTGGGGCTCGGTGTCTGCTCATTCTCGGGCGGGGCGTCCACTTCTGAGATCTGAATGTTGGGCATGGTGAGGGGCTTCAGGATGGTGCTGGGGAGATAGAACACAAAAGGGAGACTGGTTCAGCCTCTGCAGGGGGACCCTCCCTCTCCTGCAATAGGAGCACCTGGCCTGTGCTAGGCTGGGGACAAGCACACCCCCGTGGAGGCGGCCCGTGCGGAGTGTCCCGTGAGGCTGGCCCCGCTCCAGGGCTGAGCACAGGGTGGGGAGGGGGTATTCTGGAGGAGAAGATGCTCTTTCCCAGCATCTGCAGGAACACAAGCACCCACTTCATCAAGCCCGGGATGGAGAACACCAAAGGACAAAATCTGGGCGTTGTGTGCACTGAGTTTCTGAGCATGTACAGGTTCAAATAGCTCTCATAATGGACATTTGTTTCTCCAGACAAGATTCCAGTTCAGATCCTTTCCTGTTGGAGGAGTAACTCAGAAATTGCTTCTGGCACCTAAAGGAATGGAAGTCATAGGTCAGAGCAGCGTTGGAAGGACCACTGATGACAGTGTTCTTGGGGTTGCTGGACAGGACGCTCAGCCAAGCTGGACCCCACGCAGCCAGTCTGAGCAGAGTCCCGAATAACTGGCCAAAGACTCCCTTATAAGCCCAAAAGGATAATGACAGCAGCTCAGAGATGCACACCCAAAATCAACAGGAGATTTGACCAGAAAGAAAAATCATATTTAACCAGTTAGGACCATCCCATAGTGAGAAGAGCGTGGGCTCCCTGGGACCCAGTAGAGATGGGACTTACAGTCCAGGGATGGCAGTTTTAAGGGAAGACAATAAAAGCTGAAAATCTGAAAGAACGTCCCACTGTGGTCTAACTCTGGACTTCCGACCAGCCTCTAACTGGTCAGAGCTGCTCAGGAGTGGTGAGTGCCTGGCGCTCCCAGCGACCACAGCCCACTCCCTCACCGAAGCAGAAACTGGTCTCAGCCAACTTCTTACCCCAGTGGCCCAGGTATTCACTTTATTCTAGCCAGCACTGGGGATAACCTTAGTTACCGTTCCTGACAACCCTCTCAAGAGCCCTGGCAGGTTTCAAGAACCAACCAAGACCAGCTTGATGTTGGGAATGGAGGTGAAACGAGCGAGCCGAGTGAAGGACCCTTTAGCAGGCTCAGCCAAAAATCACGCCGTCGGATGGCATTCTAAAAATTCTCTCACGTAGGGGACGGAATGGAGCAGAATCAGGCGTCGTCGGGACGTGGCTGTGGAAAGGGTTTGGCCCCACAGGAAATCCAAGATGTCCAAAGGGCTGAAATAGAGCATGAAACCAGCCAAGGAGATGAAGCCAGAGAACCTTGACCAGACATCCCAGCGTCTGATGGGATGGGCAAGGACTTCCCTCCTACAATTCCCTGGGAAAGAAAGCAGATCAGCGTTTGGCCACAATGTAGGTGTCTCTCAACTTTAGAGAGAGATGGATTTGGCTGCGGAGTTTTAACAGAACGTCCAGCGTGTCCAACGGAGAGGGCTTGGTTCTGGCTGAAAACAGAAAACACATCACTGTGGTTTCGGCTGAGATGTCAGCACACGCTACCCACACTCTGGCCTTGCAGCACCCACAAGTTTTGAGACGGAACACAGCTGGTCAGTCACTTGATACCAAGAACCAGAGTCCCGGAAGGAAGTCCCAGCAGAGGGCGGGCATGTCTACAAGCACTTGGCTACTCAGCTGGTAGCAGAGGGAGGCGGACAAATAGGCATGGGCTTCGCAGACCTTCCAGTGGGACCCCGGAGGAAGGAGCCTCCCAGACTGCTGACTGTCACACGGTCACCCAGCTCCGGGTGTGGCCTGAAGGAAGCAGCCCCCTAGCTGACCTCGTGGGAGTGGCTTGGACACAGCCTGATGTTCCTTTCCTTCTTCCAGGTTCCCCCAGGTCATGGAGAGCTTTGGAGAGAAGGTTTGAGCCCTTGGTGTCTCCAGAGCAGGGTCATTCTATGAGGAGTGGTCCCCATGGGGAAGTGCTGGGGCACCAGGCGTCGCATCAGAAATCTGCAGGCTAGGCCCAGCTGGTCACAAGCGATACCCCTCAGAGACTCAGGAATTCTCCATGAGGGAGGACACACGGCAACCAGACTTTGGCGTTTCTCCCCTGACTCTCACCCAGTGATGTGGTGACAGGCACGGTGACCCCATCACACCAACATCTGCTCCTTCCTCCTCCCCCTGAGCCCAGAACAGGGGCACAGTGCAGGTGGGGAGAATGGGAGCTGGAGTCAAGGCTTGCTGGAAGAAGGTGGCATTGATCTGCTCAAGAGCGCTTAAGAACAGAACCCCCAGACACTCCCGGGCACCACATCCCCATCTCTCCTCACTCACCCCTGAGCCCCCAAGTTACAGCCAGAGTGCCAGGAAGAAGAGGATGGTGGAGGGCGAATGCGCTCGTTGTCATCCTGCATCTGCAGACGGATGGGCCGGCGCAGCCCCCAGGAGATGTTCAGCAGCCCCTCCACGATGAACTCATCTTCCTCCTGCCCACAAAGCAATTGGCACGGTGAGCCAGACCAGAAAACCCCGCAGAGGCCAGCAACACCCCGGGGGACGACGGACAGCGCCCTCGATGGGCCCTGGCTGGGCGCACCCAAGTTACACCTGCACCCCAGCCTCAAGACACACCCCACCACAAGCTACGCCCTGAAGACGACCTCACAAGTCAACCCAAAAGTTGCCTCAAAACTCAAATACCTGTGTGTAAATGATAAAAATGGGGTGTTTTTTTTTGTTTTTATACTTTAAAGAAAGAAGAAGACATCTCTTAGAGTAACTGAGACGAGCCTTACTAACAGAAGCCAGAGCTAGATTCTTGAATTAGCTACTTTCCCCTCCCCTACCACAGAAAGTCTTTAGCTATAACATATGTTTAGCAACCAGACCTGCTGGTTGAAGGAGATTTAAAGTAACATTTCCCCAAGTTTATTCTACCGAATACTCGCGCCTCTCGCAGGTCAACCGGTTACCTCAAAAAGGGTGTCGGTGATCATGAGTTGGGAGATGATATGTCAATCAGACTTCTTACCAGCAGAACTTCCCAGAGCTTTTAATTAGCTAATGTGCTACACTGCGGCTCTCCAAGAGGTGAATTAATCCTCCGATAATTCCAAATTTATACTCAAGGGTTGTTGACTGCTAACAAGTTAAACATCAGACCCTTCTAAGGGCTTCGGCGTGTTTTGTCTCAAAGAACTGAGTCTCATTTATTATGAGTCTCTATTTAATCATAGAGCACTCTGAGAATTTATTCTCTAAGACGCACCGCAAAAAAGCTGTCCAAGGACCAAAATCTTGCGAATGGCCCAGCCACTCACTAGAAGCTTTAAGGACAATGCCTAAAAGGGTCAGGCCTCCTTTCTCAAGTCTCAGAAAACCCCACAGCTGTCAGACCTGGGCCACGGCCATGTCTTCAGGATGAGCCACATGGATGAAGAGGACACCCGTCCAATGAACAACTGACCCGGATCCCAGGATCATCGCCAGAGAGGAGGAGAGAACAGAAGAAGCAGGAGAGGAGTAGAACAGCTTTCAGGCAGGTGGGGGTCTTGGGGGGAAAAGCTTTATGTAAGAATAGGCTGTACAGAGGGCCTTCTAGCTACCGTTATATTGCATGATTTTAGGACAGGATTTAACCCAAAGTAGGACTTTGCCTACATGGACTGGTTTGAGGGACACAGAAAAAGCCACTGCATCTCACATACTCTCCCCAACCAGCCTGCCTTTGTAGCTGAAATTCTACCATCTGATATCTGTTTCTATGGATTGAATTGCCATGGCTTGATAACCTGAAAATGTGTTTAGAAGGGTATTACACATATCTTATCAGTCTAGAACACTTGAGTATAAATTACTCTACCTGGCTCCTACAAAACTCACCATCTACCTGATAACAGGCTTTACGGAAATGGATACGGGATGAGTAAGCTAAGATTCGGGCTGGGGGAAGCCGGGTGGAGAGCAAAGCGCGTCCCAAGAAGGCACCGTAGGAAGACCACTGCAGTTGTGGGGAAGGGCCAAGCATTTCCAGGCAGAGCTGATGCGGCTTGCCCAGTTGCTGCAGCAATCAGATGTGGGCCCAGATGTGTAAACACAGAAGACTGAGGAAGTTTCCTGAATTGCCCGAGAAGCAGCAGCCTGCTTGAGCACCATGGGAAAGGGTCAGTTCATGAACGTCCCCCTTTAGAGGACCCCCTCCGAAACAGATGCTAGCCCAGCCTCACATCCATCCCCAGGAATGTCTCTGGAACAGAAAAGCTCATCCTCTTTAGAACAAAATGAGCCTGGGTTCCCCTTCTAAAGAACTCCAGAGACTCCCGCTAACATCCTAAATGAGAGGCCACTCCCAGGGGGCAGGAGAGGCAGGGACCTTGAGACCCTGGAGACATGGAGGCAGACTGGGCCGGCCCACGGCCCTTCCCCAGGGACTCCTTACCTCTCGGTGTCGGAGCTGCAAATTCTGGCCTTCGTAGTACAAATTGTAGGTCTTCAGATGCAGGAGAAGTTCATTCCTTAGGGCAAAATACAAAAGGTGTGACATTCTCAGCTGAAGCCACTTGTAATGCACCTGTTCCCTCTTTTCTCACCTCTAATCTGGCCTTCAGCCACCTAAGTCTGCGTGTCTGTCCACTGTCTTTTCTCCCTCACCTCTGCTATGAGTTAGAACAGGACAATCGCTACAGGCTTTCATGAGACTCAGAAACTTCTAGGCTTTTCAGAAAGTCAAAAGGGACAGGTCTGGACCCACTGACTTATAAGTGATAGACATGACCTTATGGTGTGTTTAAAAACTTACAAACTCCCATCAACAGTGGAGAGGATGAATAAAGGGAGCTGTGGTCATACAGTGGAATATTACGTAGCAACAAGAACATGAATGAGCCACATACAACATGGATGAATCTCACAGACATTGTGTTGAGTAGAAGAAGCCTGACACCAAAGGCCACGTATTGTATGATTCCATTTATATAAAGTTCAAAATGGATGTTGGAATTCACGATAGCATTCACCTTGGGGAGCAGTGACCACAAGGGGGCAGGAGGGGATTCTGGGCCCTAGCAATATTCTTTTCTACAAGCTTTTATCTCTTTTTATTCTATTTTAAGTGCTTTCAGTTTATTTAAAACAAATTTGGGGGGCGCCTGGCTGGCTCAGTGGGAGGGGCGTGTGACTCTTGATCTCAAGGGTCATGAGTTCAAGCCCCATGTTGGGTGTAGAGATTACTTAAATAAATAAACTTTAAAAAATGTTTTTAACTTGCAAATCTCCCTCTGAAACCCTATATCAGGCCTCCTTAGCTGTTAATACCTGGTTTCCAGGTGGTCCCCTGGAAACACAGCTCTATTGAACAAGAGGGAGCGAGGACTTCCCACCTTTGTGATCTGGATGAGCCCTGAGCCAACCTGAGAACAATCTACCCAGGTTTTATCTGAAAGTGCCCACTAGTGCCTGAGGCCGGGAAAGGAGGGGCTTGAAGACATTGCCGTGTACTTCTGCCTGTACTCAGGCAAGAGGCTGTGGAGTTTGGTCTCTCTGAATTCAGCCATTCAATGGAGCGACTTGGGGGCCACACCAGAGGTCAAAGCTGGCTTGAAAGTCGAAGAAGCTCTTGACAAGTTAAACCTAGAAAAATCGGAGTCATTCTATGCAAGCCTAAATGAATTAGTGAAAAATGTGACTCCAAATAACCTAACACAAAAAGCTGCTGGGTACTTTCTTTTGAGCACAGAGATCTAAAATTACTGGCCAGTCGAGGTCCCTGGAGAAATCCCTCAATGAATCGATAAGAATGATCCATAGTTCACACAACTGTGTTTCTGTATGTGGCCAAATATGTGTAAAGGAATGAAAACAATCTGGTCTCGGATAAGTTAAGCATTTAGTTCAGATAGAGAGCATTCAGTATGAACAAATCCCTGTGCTGGATATAAAAAGATATCCTCAAACTTATCATTTGAAAAGTCCATTTTGGCTCACATTAGCAAAAAATCCGAGCTCAAGAGATTTTAGTGCAGGGCGCCTGGGTGGCTCAGTTGGTTGAGCGACTGCCTTCGGCTCAGGTCATGGTCCTGGAGTCCCTGGATCGAGTTCCGCATTGGGCTCCCTGCTCGGCGGGGAGTCGGCTTCTCCCTCTGACCCTCCTTCCTCTCATGCTCTCTCTCTCTCTCTCTCTCTCTCTCTCTCTCTCATTCTCTCTCTCAAATAAATAAATAAATAAAATCTTTAAAAAAAAGAGAGAGAGATTTTAGTGCATATAAAGCAATGAATCTGTCTCTTTCTGTTCAGGGGGCACCTGTGCCTATTCTGGTCAGAACCCCGGCAGCACAGGGACACCACCCAGCGGGGACTCCCTCAGGGGACACCACAGACAGCTCAGGGGGCAGCCACCATTAATTCCTCCTTCCAGGACACCATCTCTCTTGAACCCCCAAAGGTGCTGTGTCTTGAAGGTCCCCTTTACTTTGCTGTCCGTGGCCAGGCTCTGGGGCCATGTTTTTATCTAGAGCACCAAACTTGCTGTGCTCTCACTCAGCTGCTTCCCTTCTTCCCACACACAGGACTCCCTGCCACCCATGAACGGAAGGGGTTTCCATCCACGTGGGACTGGCCACTGGGGACACAACACTAAAAGCCAAAAATCTTACTTGGAGATGTATTTATCTTGTCCACACGGGACTAGAGAGGTTTGGTGACTGTAGTCCATTCTTCTGTTCTATTTTCATCAGAAGGGGAGACCTATATTTGAAAAAAGACACAGGCCAAGTCAAGTTGGGTCCTTAGGAACTCAGCAGAATTTGGGCCAGGGGAGGGGGCACATGGCTCTCTGTTCCCACCCCAGATCCACAGCATGGGCCGCCCAACGCTGACCCAGGGCTAGTGAGATACCACACTGCTGACTGCTGCCTGTGCTTGTCACAGCCTCTGGGGAAAAAAACACCCAAAGGAGAGAGGACAACCCTTAGACGAACCCAGAACAAATGCTCCAGTCACAAGAATGTTGACACCCAAGGTGGTCCCAAGGGCGACCAACGTGTCTTCCCTGAAGAGATCTTCACAACACAGAATAGAGATGGGTCTGACAGGGAAGACTCAGGTTCCACTGAGGCACATTATAGATGGGCCAGCCACCTAAAAATGCCCAGAGCTGGGTGCAGTAAACCACAGCATACACATCTACAATCGCCATTAAAATATGGTAATGTTAAAGGCAATTAATTACCTGGGGAAATGACAACACGTTGTGAAAACACAGGTTACAAAACCATAAGTTCAATTTTGTTTAAAATATAAGTAAGCATCAAATATGCATATGTAAACATTTATATAAATGGATATATATATATTCAGATATTCAGATATATATGTCAGGGTTTCTCAGCCTCAGCACTATTGACATTTGGCTAAATCATTCTTTGTTGTGGGAACTGTCCTCTGCATTGGAGGATATTTAACAGCATCCCTGGCCTCTACCCACTGGATGCCGGCAGCACCAGCCAGTCATGACAATCAAAAATGTCTCTGGACATTACCTAGTGTCCCCTGGGAGCTAAACTGTCCCCAGTTAAGAATCCCTGGCATATGTATATCTGTATATAAATGAATGAAGGATTGGCTCTCTCTGGGGAATGGCATTACCCCAAATTTTTTTCAAACATTTTATTATGAGAATTTTCAAACATAAAGATGAGGAATAAGACAATGAACAGCCAGGGATGCATAGTTATTCTACCCCTAACATTTACTGGGGTACCTGGGTGGCTCAGTCAGTTAAGCGTCTGCCTTCAGCTCAGATCATGATCCCAGGGTCCTGGGATGGAACCCCGTGTAGGTCTCCCTGCTCAGCGGGGAGCCTGCTTCTCCCTCTCCCTCTGTCCCTCCCTACCACTGGTGTTCTCTCTCCCACGCTCTTCTTTCTCCCACACTCTTCTCTCTCTCTCAAATAAATAAATCTTTAAAAAAAACATTAACTATCTTTCTTTATCACACATCCGTCCAGCTATACATTCCTTTATCTATTCAATAATCCATCTTATTTTTGATGCATTTCAAAGTAAATTACACACAAAACAAGTTTCATAATTTAAGAAGATTGAAATCATACCAAGTGTCTTCTCCAACCACAATGGTATGAAACTAGAAATCAACAGCAGGAGGAAAACTGGAAAAATCCATGACTATGTGGAAATTGAACAACACACTCCTGAACAACCCATGGGTCAAAGAGGAACTCAAAATGGAAGTGAAAAATATCTGGAAACAAACAAAAACGGAAATACAACATACCAAAAGTTATGGGATACAACAAAAGCAGTTCTAAGAGGGAACTTTATAGCAATGAACACCTACATTAAGAAAAAAGAAAGATCCCAAATAAACAACCTCGAGGAACTAGAAAAAGAATAAACTAAGCCCAAAATTAGAAGAAGGAAGGAAATAACAAAGATCAGAGCAGAAATAAACGAGAGACCAGAAAACAATAGAAAAGATAAATGAAACTAAGCTGGTTCTTAGAAAAGATAAACAAAATTGACAAACCTTTAGCTAGACTAAGAGAAAAAACTCAAATAAACAAAATTAGACATGAAAAGGAGACATTACAACTGACACCAGAGAAATACAAATGATCTTAAGAGGCTACTGTGAACAATTATATGCCAATAAATTGGATAACCTAGAAGAAATGGATAAATTCCTAGAAACATAACCTACCAAGACTGAATCATGAAGAAAAAGAAAATCTGAATAGACCAATAATGAGTAAGATTGAATTAGTAATCAAAAACTTCTCAGGTTTTGAAAAGAAAAGCAAAGCCCAGGACCAGATGGTTTCACTGGTGAATTCTACCAAATATTTAAAGAAGAATCAATACCCAATCCTTCTCAAACTCTTCCAAAGAACCGAAGAAGAGGGAACACTCCCAAACTCATTTTATGAGGCCAGTGTTACCCTGATACTCTTATAGCCAGGTAAACATACTACCAAACAAGAAAACTACAGGCTGATATGCCTGATGAGTGTAAATGTAAAAATTCTCAAGAAAATACTAGCAAACCAAATTCAACAGTACATGAAAAAGATCATACAACATGATCAAGTTGGATTTATCCCTGGGATACAAGGATGGTTCCACACATGCAAATCACATATGATCACCTCGACAGATGCAGAAAAAGCATTTGACAAAATTCAACATCCTTTCATGACAAAAACTCCAACCAATTAGGTATAGAAGGAATATACCCCAACATAATAGAAGCCAGATACGACAAGCCCACAGCTAGCATCATACTCAACGGTGAAAAACTGAAAGTTTTTCTTCTGTGACCAGGAGCAAGACAAGGGTGCCCACTCTCACCACTCCTATTCAACACAGTACTGAAAATCCTTGCCAGAGCAATCAGGCAATAAAAATAAATAAAAGACATTCAAATAAAAAAGGAAGAAGTAAAATTGTCTCTGTTTGCAATAATATGAGCTTATATATAGAATATCCTAAGGACTCCGTGGGGCACCTGGGTGGCTCAGTCAGTTAAGCGTCGACTATTGATTTGGCTCAGGTCATGATATCAGGGTCATGATATGGAGCCCCGCGTCAGGCTCCACACTCAGTGGGGAGTCTGCTTCCCTCCCTCTCCCTCTGTCTTTCCCCCAACTCATGCATGCTCTCTCTCTCTCTCTCTCTCTCTCAAATAAATAAATAAATCTTAAAAAAAAGTCCTAAGGACTCAACCAAAAAATGGTTAGACTTAATCAATGAGTTCAGTAAAGGTGCGGCATACAAAATCAGCATTCAAAAATCAGTTGTGTTTCTATACACTAACAGCAAACTATCTGAAAAAGAGATAATCCCATTTACAGTAGCATCAAAAAAATAAAATACTTAGGAATAAATTAACCAAGTGTGTGATAGATCTGTACACTGAAAGTTAAATGACACTGATGAAAGAAATAGAAAAAAACAAACAAACAAATGGAAAGATATCCCATGTTCACAGATCAGAAGAATATTGTTAAGATGTCCATACTACCCAAAGCCACCTCTTGCTCAACATAATCACTATGAGAATTCCAATGGCATTTTTCACAGAAACAGAAAAAATGATCCTGAAATTTATATGGAACAACAAAAGAACTCAAACAGCCAAAGCAATCCTGAGAAAGAACAAAGCTGGAGGCATCACACTTCATGATTTCAAAATGTATTACAAAAACTATAGCAACCAAAACAGCATGATGCTGGCACATAGACCAATGGGACAGAATTAAAAGCCCAGAAATAAACCCATGCACATAAAATTAATATTTGACAAGGGAGCCAAGAATATGCAATGAGGGAAGAACTGTCTCTACAATGAATGTTGGAAAAATTGGAAACTCAAATGCAAAAGAATGACATTGGACCCCTATCTTACACCAAGCACAAAAATTAATTTGAGGGGCACCTGGCTGGCTCAGCTGGTACAGCATGCAATTCGTGAGGTCATGAGTTCAAGCCCCATGTTGGGTGTGGAGACTACTTTAAAAAAATTAACTTGAAATGAATTAGACTTAAATATAAGACCTGAAACCATAAAACTCTAAGGAAGAAAACAGAAATAAAGTTCCTTGCCAAAGTTCCATGGCATTGGCCTTGGCAACAATTTTTTGACTATGACACCCAAATCATGAGCAACAAAAGTAGAAATAAATAAGTGGGACTACATAAAACTAAAAAGCTTCTGTGCAGCAAAGGAAACAATCAGCAAGCTGGCAAGGTCACCTACAGAATGGGAGAAAATATTTGCAAACCATGTATCTGGTAAAGGGTTAATGTCCAAATTATATAAGAACACAGAAAACTCAAGAGCAAAAGAAACCAAATAATCCAATTAATAAATGGGCAGGGGACCTGAATAGATATTTTCCCAAAGAAGACATACAAATGATCGACAGGCACATGAAAAGATGTTCAGTATCAGAATCATTAGGGAAACACAAGTCAAAACCACAATAAGATATCACCTCATTTTTGTTAGAATGGCTGGTATCAAAAAGACACGAGATAATAAGTGTCAGTGAGGATGTGGGAAGATTGGACCCCTTGTGCACTGTTGGTGGGAATGTAAAATGGTGCAGCCACTGTGAACAACCGTACAGCAGTTCCTCAAAGAGTTAAAAATAGAACAACCCGATGATCCAGCAATTCCACTTCTGAGTATATACCTAAAAGAACTGAAAGCAGGATCTTGAAGAGATACTTATACACCCAGGTCCATAGCAGCATTAATCACAACAGCCAAAAAGGTGGAAGCCACTCAAGCGTCCATCAACGGATGGATGGATGAACGATGCACGGTAGACACATACCATGGAATATTATGCAGCCTTAAAAAAGAAGGGGATTCTGACATGTGCGACAACATGGAAGAACTTTGAGGACATTCTGCCAAGTGAAATAAGCCAGCAACCAAAGGACAAATACTGTATGATTCCACTAATAGGAAGTCTCCAAAGTAGTCAACATCATAGAAACATAAGGTAGAAAGTTGGTTGCCAAGGCCGGGGAGGAGAGGGAATTAGTGTCTAACAAGCAGAGTTTTAGTTTGGCGACATGAAGCTTTGTGTGGATGGATGGTGGTGTTGCTAGGACAACGGTGTGAATGTCCATAATGCCACAGAACTGTGCACTTAAAAATGATAACGTTGATACGTTTTATGTGTATTTCACCATGATAGAAAAAAGAATGGAAGAGGG